AGTCTGTGTGTGGGTCTGGCCCATCCACTGGCCTGGTCAAACCCTGAGTTTTCACTCTTGGCTCTGGCTGGCTGGTCAGCCCCTGCGGAGTTTCCATACCCTTGAGTCAGTAGAGCAGAACAGCCTGGTTCTGCTTCAAGGGCACCTGGATCAATGCCTTTCGCCCGCACTCACCTGCACCCTGCAGCCCAAAGGTTGTATTTACATCAGTCAAAGTCCCCAGGAGAGGGATGCAGCATCTTGCAAGCCTAGCTTTGCCCGGTGAAGCCAGCACCCCAGGAAAACTCCTAAAAACAGGAGCATTCAGGCTTCTGGAGAAAAGCCTCCCTGAGCAGCCAGGCCTGGTCTGCTTCTGCCAACCCTCTAGGCCCAGCTCACGTGCTGTCCTCATGCCTAAGGCACTGCAGTCACTGGAACCTTCTTCCCACCCCTGTTCTTGCTCCCTGCCATATCTGGGTCTTTGCACAGGCGATTCTCACTACCCGGAACACTTTTCCCTTCTCCCTTAACCTGGGCAATGCCATCCTTGGCACTCAGCTATTTCCTCTTTAAGCACCCCTGACCTCCCCACCATGTTGAGTATCTCAGCACCAAGCACCTCTCCCCCATCACTGCCAAGTTGATCCTCACGTCTCCTCCCTTCTATCTGCCCCACATTCCCTGTCCTGGGTCCAGTCCTATGCTCTAGCCCATTCCTCCATAATCCAGCTCTTTCTAGCTGGCAACCAACAAATTCACTTTATGAAATGTGTAGTTTTTTTTAAATCAGTATTTCTTACATTCAGATAGCTGTTCAGTGTTAAAGCAAACATTATAAAACATCCATTTAAAAAGACAGATTGAGGGCGGGAGTGGTGGCTCACCCTTGTAATCCCAGCACTTAGGGAGGCCGAGGCGGGCGGATCACCTGATGTCAGGAGTTAAGACAAGCCTGAGCAACATGGCAAAACCTCATCTCTATTAAAAATAACAAAAATTAGCTGAGCGTGGTGGCACACAACTGTAATCCCAGCCCCTTGGGAAGCTGAGGCAAGCGAATCGCTTGAACCCTGGAGGCAGAGGTTACAGTGAGCCAAGATTACACCACTGTACTCCATCCTGGGTGACAGAGCGTAATTCCATCTCAAATACATAAATACATAAAAAGATAGATGGAAAGCCATTAGAAAAAGATACAGAGAAGTCTTTCAGGTTCCTGGACTGAATTTGCTACTGAGGTTGAATATATAACCTACCTAAGGGCTTCCTAGCACCCAAGGCAAAAGGGGAAATATACTTTGTTATAGTAGTTTGGCTCTGGGAGAACTTGTTTCTTTGAAATAACATATTTTTACTTCCTCAGCTTGGAAGGGCTATACATAAAACAGCTGATATTGCAGTGAAGGCATCTGAGGAAATGGTTTCCTATTCTGCCTGCATTCCTGTCCCCTCTGGTAGTCTCCCTGTGCTCATCCCAACTAATGCCCAGGAATTCCTTCCCCTTCTCTGCTCCACCCTGGCCTACTTTCTCAGCTGTGTTTCCCTGACTCTGGGTTCTCTGCAAAACCAAGTCTCCCTTCAGCGGAAGTGTTCACATTTGGGCCAGGTGACCCCTGTGAAGGAAACAGCGGTGGAGATTCATAAACTAAAACAGGGACTGGAATGGGTAACTTTGCACATCTTGTCCAGGTCTAGCCTTCAGGGTCTGTGAATCTGTACTGAGTGACTGAAGTGCAACCCTACTCCCCACCATAGTAATTCCAACTTCTGTATGGTTCCTCACAAAAAAAAAAAAACAAAAAAACAAAAAAACAGTTGAGTTCAAATCCCACAACTTTAAAGCTGCCTTCTCTAGATTAGTGCCCATGTCCCACTCGGCTTCAGCTTCTTAACATAGATAACTGTAAGGCGTTGTGGGGTGCTTCATGATGGTACATGCCCAACGATTATTTATGTATATCCTTACTCTGTCATGAATAGAAAATCATTTGCAGCAGCTCATAAAAAACAAATAAACCAGAGCTGGGCGTGGTGGTACATGCCTGGAACCCCAGATATCCAGAGAAGGCTGAGGCAGGAGAATGCCTTGTGCCCTGGAGTTTAAGATCAGCCTGGGCAACAGAGTGAGATCCCCATCACTAAAAAAATAAAATTAAATTAAAAAATAAGAATCTTCTGGCTGGGTGCAGTGGCTGACACCTATAATCCCAGCACTTTGGGAGGCAGAGTAGGGCAGATCACTTGAGGTCAGAAGTTTGAGACTAGCCTGGCTAATGTGGTGAAACCCCATCTCTACTAAAAATACAAAAAAAATTAGCCAGGCTTGGTGGCATATGCAGCTACTTGGGAGGCTGAGGAAGCAGAATCACTTGAATCTGGGAGGCAGAGGTTGCAGTGAGCCAAGATCACGCCATTGTACTCAAGCCTGAGAGAAGGAGTGAGTCTCTGTCTCAATCAGTAAGAATCTTCCTCAACATTCTTACAGCAAAATGAATGAGTTGATTAATTTTTTTTTTCTTTTATTTATTTATTTATTTATTTTTGAGACGGAGTTTCGCTCTTGTTACCTAGGCTGGAGTGCAATGGCACGGTCTCGGCTCACCGCAACCTCCGCCTCCTGGGCTCAGGCAATTCTCCTGCCTCAGCCTCCTGAGTAGCTGGGATTACAGGCACACGCCACCATGCCCAGCTAATTTTTTGTATTTTTAGTAGAAACGGGGTTTCACCACGTTGACCAGGATGGTCTCGACCTCTTGACCTCGTGATCCACCCGCCTCGGCCTCCCAAAGTGCTGGGATTACAGGCGTGAGCCACCGCACCCAGCCTATTTATTTTTTTTAAAGATGGGGTTTCACACGGTAGCCAGGCTGGTCTTGAACTCCTGACCTCAGGTGATCCACCCACCTTGGCCTCCCAAAGTGCTGGGATTACAGGCATGAGCCACTGTACCAGGCCAAGTTGATTAATTTAAATAAAGCAAAACAACTGCACTTACCAGAAAGTTAAGATAATAGACAAGTTGTCTCATCCCAGCTCTCCCACTTGAAGGCTGTGTGATCTTACGCAAGTGGTTTCATCGCTCTAAGCCTCAGTTTCCTTGTCTGTAAAATGTGATAATAGTAGTACCTATCCCCATTGGGCTATTGTATAACTAAATATATGAATACAGAGGACACTTAGCACAATGCCTGGCATACAGTACCTAGACAAGATATTTTAGCAGTTTTTATTTATTTATTTATTTGAGACGGAGTCTTGCTCTGTCACCCAGGCTGAAGTACAGTGGCTCGATCTCGGCTCACTGCAACCTCCACCTCCTGGGTTGAAACGATGCCCCTGCCTCAGCCTCCCTAGTAGCTGGGATTACAGGTGCCTGCCACCATGTCTGGCTAATTTCTGTATTTTGAGTAGAGAAGGGGTTTTACCATGTTGTTCAGGCTGGTCTTAAACTCCTCGCCTCAGGTGATCCGCCTGCCTTGGCCTCTCAAAGTGCTGGGATTATAGGCGTGAGCCACCATGCCTGGTCAAAGTTTTTATTTTTATGATGATGATGCAATCTAGTATTCTCTTTATAAAAAAGTAATCTGGGTAAAGCTGAGCTGCTCCAAAGCCAGTCTCAGCCCCCTGCTGAATTAGAAACACTACTTTCTCCTCTGGAAAAAAACAAAACAAAACTGCAAAACAACTTAAATCTTTATCCAATTCTTTTAAGAATGTTAAAGCAGATATCATCCATAATCTCAATAAAACTTCCTCCAATTTCCTCCCTGCCGCTTTCTCTCTCTCTCTCTCCCTTACCCTCCTCCTGCCTGACGCCTAACCCTTTCGCAATATCTCACAGCACAGCAGCCCCCAAATCTGCATCTGGATCCCCCAAATACTCCCTCAAAGCTCAGCCTGTGCTCCAGCCTCCCCCATTTTTCCCACCTCTCAGCCTCTGTCCTTTCTCTTGTAGCTTGTTTCTTCCTCCCCCACCTCCACCCATTACCCCAGATCCACAGGATAAAGCCCAGGCTGCAGCTGCCTGACACAGCAAGATGCCTTCCTCAGAGCGGGCAGGGAGGAAGGGAGGCTCTGAAAATGTTCATACTGTTTTCCCAAAATGGACATACATCTGTCAATTCAGCTAAATGCAGAATCACATCAAGAAGTTTGCAATGGTTAATATCTGAGGAATGAGATTATAGGCAGGCGTCCCCAAACTTTTTACACAGGGGGCCAGTTCACTGTCCTTCAGACCGTTGGAGGGCCGCCACATACTGTGCTCCTTTCACTGACCACCGATGAAAGAGGTGCCCCTTTCTGAAGTGCGGCGGGGGGCCGGATAAATGGCCTCAGGGGGCCGTATGCCGCCTGCGGGCCGTAGTTTGGGGACGCCTGTTATAGAAACTGTTTCTTCCCATTTTATTCATTTCTGTATTATCTATTCTGCTTTTTTCTCTTTTTTTTTTCTTTTTGAGACAGGGTATCATGCAGCAGTCTCAAACTCCTGGGTTTAAGCAATCCTCCCATCTCAGCCTCCCCAGTAGCTGGGATACAGGCTTGCACCACCATGTCCGACTAATTTTTTAAAAATATATTTAGTAGAGGCCAGGTGCGGTGGCTCATGCCTGTAATCCCAGAACTTTGGGAGGCCGAGGCGAGTGGATCACTTGAGGTCAAGAGTTCGATACTAGCCTGACCAACATCGTGAAACCCTGTCTCTACTAAAAATACAAAAATTAGCTGAGTGTGGTGGCGGGCACCTGTAATTCCAGCTACTCGGGAGGCTGAGGCACAAAAACCGCTTGAATTCAGGAGGCAGAGGTTGCAGTGAGCTGAGATAACACCATTGCACTCTAGCCTAGACAACAGTGAAAATCTGTCTCAAAAAAATGTGTGTGTGTGTGTATGTGTGTTGTGTGCGGGGGTGTGTGTGTGTGTGTGTGTGTGTGTGTGTGTGTGTGTGTGTAGAGACAAGGTCTCACTATGTTGCCCAGGCTGGCGAACTCCTGGCCTCAAGCAATCTTCCTGCCTCAGACTCCCAAAGTGTTGAGATTACAGGCCTGTGCCATGGGGCCCGGTCCACATTGTGTTTTACAGGGACCATGTATTACATTTGAAATTTGACAAAATAGAGATTTATTTTATTTTATTTTATTTATGTTTTCAACATTAAGTAAGGAAAGCAGGGCAGAGGGAAGACATAGTAGAAAAAGTAAGGTGAAATAGGAATAAAGTATCCCGTCTATTCCATTGCTCTTGTATTTAAATCATGTAAAGTTCCCAGGATGGCACCCATACAGACTTGGTAAATAGCAGCTATTGTGGAACTTCCTGGGTCTCTGTCCTTCCCAGAAACTCAACTGCCCAGTTGAAACAGTAATTGGTGGTCCAAGGAGACACAAGAAAGGGGTCCGGCGGGATAGTCTGATCCTGTGTTTTACCAAGAGCCCAGGGCAGGGGGAGGGATCCTGCCTACCTCGCTGCAGGGTTGGATGAGTCAGGAAGAGCCTCACTGGGCCTGACAAGCTCTGCCTGCCTGCACCCTGCTTCTGAGCACGGACTTCCCTCCCCTGCCAGCCTCTTCAGAGCTTCTTCTGCCATCTTCATGACTGTATCCTTTAGATAGGCTGGCTTCTGTTTCTTGGAGAGTCAGGATTTCCCCCGGTGCCTGAAACAGTATTTCAGCTCAGTTATAGAAGACAAAACAACATTAAAAATTAAAAAACTCTTAACAGCGAGTTTCATTCTGTCTGCGTGCTTGTGGTTTGCTCAGCGTGTCCAGCCTCTGTCTGACTTGGCATGTGGCATTACTCCAAAAGCAAAAAATCAGCCAAACCAAAGGGATTCTCTGGGCACCTACTATGTACCAGTCATTACCAAACATCTATTCTGTACAAGATGATGACAGAGGCAAAGCAGAGGAAGAGTAATGCCAGTCATAGCCATGGCCATTTATTGAACACCTGTGAATATGTCTCTCCACACATTCTGGGAGATTCCTTTTGGATCCTGGTAAATCCTAAGGCTGCATGGCTGGAAACCCACCACCTAAACTACAATGCCAGGTATCTCCAGGGTCTTACTCCCTGGCTAATCAGAACCCTTGGACACAGTGATTGGCAGAGGAATTGACACATGTCTCAGTGACAGTGGACGAGACTCAGTTTTGGGAATGTTATTAGAACTGTAGGAAAAAGTGAGTCCCTGTTTCTGTTGGGAGTTGATAAGAGAGTAGGATGTGAGCCACTGCTGCTGGCAGTCATCTTATCATCACGAGTCCAAGAGATGAGGCCAGCAGGGAGGGAGGTGGTCTTCAGAGATGGAGGAAATGAGACTGAATCCTAATGACATCATCTGAGCTCCTCTGGGAGCCATGTCTAAAGCTAGCTCTGCCCCTCTACTTTGCAGTTACACAGGTAAAGAAGTTCTTTCTTTTTGGCTCTGGCCAGTTCAGGCTGGCCTTCTGTGTTTGAGCCCTGATGCTCCAGCTGGGCAGACCCTGTGCCCAGAGGCTTCAGTATTTGGAAGGGACACCTCCCGACATCTCATCCAGTCTCCAGCAGTCGAACAAGGGAGACCTTCTCCTGTCATATAACCACCCGTGTCTGTCTGAGGGCATGGTGAGCCCATGAATGCCAACAGAAACAGCTGCATGCCAGCAAAGGAGCAAAGCCCCTCAAACTAGCTGTGTCTCCATGGGCAAATCCCTTTTTCTCTCTGAACATTGATTTTCTCACCTGCAATATGGAGATGATGTGGGAATCATAGCATCAACCATATAGAATTGACCGAATCAGTCAGATAATGCAGCAAAGCACCTACCACAGAGTCTGGCACATAGTGTTTCCTATGGCTGGCTGTTTCCAGAAAGCTATTTAGAGGAGATGATCTCTGAGGACTCCTGAGGAGTTAAAGGTAAGGGTCAGAGTCGGCAGCAAACTTCACTTGCATGCCTTTGAGCAGTGTAAGACCAGGGGCTGTGTTTTCAGGAGCAGCCTGGTAGAAGGAAGAGACTCAGCCATCACCTCATGAGGCCTTGGTTGTAGTCCTGATTCTGCTGTCAAGCCGGGTGAGTGGCTTTGGAGTGGGTTTGGGCATGCTGACCCTCACTCCCTGCCCCCTCTCCCCACCCCATCCCTTAATGTGCCCCTTTTGGGAACAAGAAAAGCCATAACCTGTCTCCTTTGCTTTCTTCATAGAGCCAGGAGGACCACACCTTGCTCAATGCTGTGTCCCCAAGACTCAGCCCTGAGCTGATGGAGCATTCCAGAATGCCCATTTTATGAGTGATTAAAATGTGGTCATAATACCTATACCTGGCCTTCTGATCTTTTTCTTTTTTTTTTTTTTTTTTTCTTTTTGAGATGGGGTCTCATTCTGTCACCCAGCCTAGAGTGCAGTGGCTCGATCTTGGCTCACTGCAACCTCTGCCTCCTGAGTTCAAGTGACTCTCTTGCCTCAGCCTCCAAAGTAGCTGGGTTTATAGGCACATGCCACCCTGCCCAGCTGATTTTTTGTATTTTTGTTAGAGATGGGGTTTTGCCATGTTGGCCAGGCTAGTCTTGAACTCGTGACCTCAAGTGATCTGCCACCAAGACCAGCCTTTTTTTTTTTTTTTTTTGAAACGGAGTCTCACTCTGCTGCCCAGGCTGGAGTACAGGGGCTTGATCTCGGTTCACTGCAACCTTCGCCTCTGCAGTCCAAGTGATTTTCCTGCCTCAGCCTCCTGAGTAGCTGGGATTATAGGTGCCTGTCACCACGCCCAGCTAATTTTTTTGTATTTTTGGTTGAGACAAGTTTCGCCATGTTGGCCATGTTGGACTCAAACTCCTGATCTCAGGTGATCCAACTGCCTCAGCCTCTCAAAGTGCTGGGATTACAGACATGAGCCACTGTATCTGGCCCTTTTTTCTTCTGGAAACTTCTTGTTGGAGAGCAACAGAGACAGAAAAGCACACAGATCCTAAGGAGACTGCTCAATGATTTTTCCCAGCTGAACTACCCACTTCTCTGTACCTAACCCTTACTAGCATCCAGAAGCTTCCCTGGCACCCTTTCCAGTCATTCCCTCCTCAAAGATGACACAAACCTCACTTCTGACAGCACAGGTTAATTTTGCTTATTTTTGAACTTTATGTAAATGGAGCAATGCTTAAAGAGCTTCTGGTGGTTTCTGAGTTACAAAGGGCCTGCAATGTACATTAACTCCTTAAATCTTCACATCAGTACAGAGAGGTGGGCAAGAATTACGAATCCCATTTCACAGAGGAGAAAACGGGGGTTCAGAGAGGAGAATCCTCTACAATCACATCGCTGGCAAGTGGAGAGCCTGAATAAGTGGGTTTCATTTTTGTGTGTGCCTGGGTCTCCAAGGTCTCTCCAGGCATTAGCCCATGATTCTCAGGAAGACACTTGGAGAATGGCCAGGAATCGTGCACCAGGCCAGGGCAGCTGATGGTTTGAGTTACCCAGCATGGAGGGGAGCTCTGAACTTTCAGGTCTGGTCACCTTTTGAGCATGGCCAGACCCTCCCCTCTACACCATGCTCCCAACTGCTGCACTCAAGGAGCTTTTCCACCTCCACACTGAAGAATTTGGAATGCTGCCAGAAGGAGGAAGCAACGCAGAGATTTCCACAGAGCCCCTCCCTGCCCTCCAGGTTCCCACACAAACTGCCCAGGAGCAGATGGTCTGCTTTGGAACTGACTGTGTGTGCCTAGACCTTCTCTCCCCGACACATCCAGGGCCACTGTGGGTCAGCACCTGGGCAGGGGTTGCAGCCAGCTGCTCTCCTCTTCCCTCCTGCCAATAATTTCTCTGTTTCCGGATTCACCCCAGTCACCAAACATTACAGCCCCCTCACCTCTGTTGGCTGGTAGGCAGGATTCCCAGGGTCTTTCCTTCTGGTCTCATGAACATTCCGTCTGGACTCATGAACTCTTAGACATCCTTCAAAGACCAAAGCCCAATGCCACCAGGATGTCTTTGTCTGTCCTGAACATACACTCATTATGTCCCCTACAAATTAGTTTCTCTTTCTCAGCACAATCCAAATATAATGATCACAAAAGTCACACAACAGTCACCTACAAAAAAACCACAGTTTCACCACACATGCAATGTTTTTATCTTGATGTCTCTTGCAAACTGGGTGACACACAAAGTTGTACCAAATCACAGCCATGTCCTGCTTTTGTGTGGGCACATACAACACATACAAACTACACTACAAAACCCCAGGATTTTTTTCTCAACTTGTTTACAACAGGGACACCACATTTCTTTCTACCATATTACCATGCATTCACAACACGACCCAAATGTGCAGACCACACATCACACACACACACAGGCAGGCGTCTTCTGTTCCCGTCTCCTTCCCTTGTTTTACAAAACCTACATGAGACAGTGTCTCTCCTGGTTCTGCAAATGCGCACGCCTGGAGAGCCACGGCTCCTTCTCTCTGCTTTCCCACCATTCCCTCCCTCACCCCTCTGTCAGGCACGCACGGGGACACACACACACAGCAACGAATCCCAAATATAGCAGACACACACACACAACAACAACAAACCCCAAATATAGTCAGGGCTTTCCTTCTCACAAAAACACACGGGCACGCGGAATCCACCCCTCCCCCCCCTTTCTGGCTCCTTTTCTCCTCCCTCCTCCTCTCATACTCTACACTCACAGACATACACACGCGCGCGCGCGCGCGCGCGCTCAGCTGCAGCGCCCTGGGTCACACTCCAGTGCAGGAGACAGGCAGGAGACAAAGGTCGCTGAGGCTCCCGGCACCCCGCACCCGACACAGTGAAGCCTCTTCCCGGTTCCGCCTGCCCCCAACGCCGGTCTCGGTAAGGTCGGGACCGTGCGCCCTAAAGCCACAGCTCCCGCCCGCGCTGGCCCTCCGGCGTGCGGGCACAGCCCTGGCAGCCGGCTCCCGGCGCGCCAAGGGTTAAGGGCCCGCACGGGCGCGGGGAGTGCGGTCTCCGGGCGTGATTGGCTGCACCGTCCTGGCCCCGCCCCCCCGCGCCCTGCCATTGGCCCCGCGGCGGGCCCGCCCCTCCGGGACTCGGCGCCGAAGCCTCGAGCTCGCCCGCAGGAGCCGAGCGCGCCGCCGGGACCAGACAGCCGAGCCGTCCGAGCAGCGGGGCTGGTAGCCGGGAGCCCGGAGCTGAGAATCTGGAGCCGGGCGCTGGGAGCGGCGCGGGGCCGTGGCGGAGCACGCGAGCTATGGTGAGTGCCGAGCCCGGAGGTCCGGTCCGGTCCAGCCCAGCCTCGACGGTCCCGGGCAGCGGCGCCGCGGATGTCACCCCGGGCCCCCCTGGCTCGCTGGGGGCTGGGCGCCGGCTGCAGCTGCAGCCCCGGCCCGGCTCTCGGAAGGCCTGGAGTCGAGGGGCGCCTGGGCAGAGCGCGGCTCTCCGGGCGGCGCTGTGCTTGCCCCACCGGGGGCGGCCGCGCCGAGCTTGGTTCTGGTCCCGGCCAGATGTGGAGGACTCGGGGTGCCCTGTTCGCTTTGGGGACGGTTGCTGCGGTCTGGCTTGGGTTGTCCTGAAGTCCCTGGTTTCGGCTTGGCTTGGAGACCCAGGGCAGCCGGGCCGGGCTCGCGGGAGGTGACGATTCTGAGGTGGCTGGATGCAGCTGGACCTGAGCGTCCCGGGACACTGAGGTCGGTCTGGGGGCTCGCCTTGGGGTACGGTGGGTGGCGACCCCCGGCGCATTCGGAGGGCTCAGTTGAGGCCCTCTGGGACTGCCGATCCCGCTGTGGTCTAAGGGATGTAGGTGCTGGCGGGGCAGCCAGGTCGGTGCTGTTAGAGACCGGGGGACACTCGGGGACTCTGCACCCAGCGATTCGGTCTCCCCAGCATCTCCCGGTGATGGGTCCTCAGAGGAGGGGCTTGCTGAGGCCGAGTGCTGTCCGCGATGGGCAGGGGCACCAAGGAGAAGGGGAGTTGGGGAGGGGCGTTTCATGGGGGTCTCTGAAGCCCCAGAAGAGAAATCCATTTGATCCAGGCTGAGCTCCCTGGGGGGCTGTTGGGAGGGACATTGTCTCTGGACCTCAAGAGCAAAGGCCCTTCGTCCACTTGTCCAGGGCTGGGTGCTGGCCTCTCCATCACGGGGAGAGAGCCATCTACTTCTCTTTGGCTTATTTCGGGCCACTCTGATTCCCTCTCCTACTTCTGTTCTTTGCCTTGTAAAGTGGGCCCAAGTCACCATAGAGGACTGAGGAGGGACGGTGACTGCCAGTACTTGGATGCAGCCACCTCCACTTCTCTGTGACGCTGCTGCCAAGCTCTAGGGCCCCTGGATGGGACCCCCTGTAAAGCTGGAGTCCCACAGTGGCTCCCTAGGACCAATCCCTGCTCTGCCCAGAGCTGGAGTCCCCTTACAATTCCCTCCGTCTCTCCCCTTCCAGGCCCCTCTTTTCTCACCCAGCTAGGGTCTTCTTCCCTTAGGCATCACCAGTTGCCTCACGAGAGTCAGAAGTAGTGGAATTATGGGTTAAGTTTTTTTTTTTTTTTTTAGACGGAGTATTGCTCTCTAGCCAGGCTGGAGTGCAGTGGCGCAATCTCGGCTCACTGCAACCTCCGCCTCCTGGGTTCAAGCGATTCTTCTGCCTCAGCCTCCCAAGTAGCTGGGACCACAGGCACATGCCACGAGGCCCCACTAATTTTTGTATTTTTAGTAGAGACGGGGTTTCACCATGTTGGCCAGGATGATCTCGATCTCTTGACCTCATGATCCACCCACCTCGGCCTCCCAAAGTGCTGGGATTACAGGTGTGAGCCACCATGCCCTGCTGAATTATGGGTTAATTCTATATCTTAAGGTGCTTAGAGACCATGTGGGACTCAACCTACCTCCTCTGTTAGGGATCTCACTTCCAATGCCCTGCCCCGATGGTTTCCATGACAGGACCGTGGACCAGCACTGGATTTAGTCTCAGTGTATGGGCACTAAAAGGCAGCAAGACTTTGAGGTTGTATGATCCCCTCTGCCTCTAAGCCCACCCTAAGTTACTCATAAAGACAATTTTTTCTTCCTTAAAAACCACTAAAAAAAGAAAGAGGTCCCCCCACTCTTCCTTGGTGACACTTTATAGATCCTTATAACCTAGGAAGCCCACCAGCCTATTGGGAAGACCCCAGGCTTTGTCATCAAACCCATTTGTATTTGAACCCCATCCCCTCCACTTCCCCACAGGGGCTTTGGTCCATTAGCCTTGAGCTTCAGTTTCCTCATCAGCAAGATGAGATGCTAGTGCTTATCTCAGAAGGGTGAGATAACCCAAGTAAGAGAGCTCTTTGCCTGAATACAGCTTAGTTTCCTGTCTTTTTTTTTGAGACGGAGTTTTGCTCTGTCGCCAGGATAGAGCGCAGTGGCGCAATCTCAGCTCACTGCAACCTCCGCCTCCCCGGTACAAGTGATTCTCCTGACTCAGCCTCCCTAGTAGCTGGGACTGCAGGCGCATGCCACCATGCCCAGCTAATTTTTATATTTTTAGTAGAGATGGGATTTCACCATGTTGGCCAGGATGGTCTCGATCTTTTGACCTCCTGATCCACGTGCCTCGGCTCCCTAAAGTGCTGGGATTACAGGCTTGAGCCACCGCGCCCAGCTTAGTTTCCTTTCTTTTCCAAGCTTGAGTCCACGCTGGGAAGTTCTACCTAACATCTAACCTATTTGCTGGGGTTGTCTCTGGAATCCAAGAACAAAGGCCCTTCATCCACCTGTCCAGGGCTAGGTGCTGGTCTTTCCAGCACAGGGACAGAGGCCACCTATTTGCTCATCTGAAATAAGGATGAAAGTTTATCATGTTGTAGGGAGGAGACCATGACACTTTCATCTATCATTCAGCCAGGATGCATTGAACACTTACTATAAACTAAACCCCGTGTGAAGGAGGAAGGAACTGACCAAATAAACATTGTCAAGGGAGCTTCCACCAGGCCATAAATGTCTGCACTGGTCCTCAGGCTAGCTGGCACACCCTTGGAGAGGCGGAAATATGCCGGGTGGGGGGCTCTCTCCAGGTTGGAGAGATGAGAGAAAGCTTCATGGAGCAGGTGACATCTGAACTGGAAGGGATGTCCCAGGAGGGGGACCCGTATGACAGAGGACCAGAGTATGAGCGCACAGGACAGGCTCCTGGTAAGGCTGGAGTAGGGCTGGCCTGGCACCTGGCTATGAAGGGACCAGGAAAGAGAAGAGAAAGAGGGGAAAAAGGTTGTTTGGGCCAGAGTTCGAGGCTGAGGAAGTCCACAGTAGATTGTTGACGGGCTGGGTGTACATGGGGTGGAGGCTGATGTCAGGCCTCCCTGGCCCCTGTCATTTTAATTTCCTCTAAACACTGGTTCCTGTGCTGTCATTCCTGAAGCGGGGGTGATTTGGGGCTGTTTGTTCCCTGGATCTCCTGCTCCGTGGCTTTTAAACAAATCCAGCACTCCCTCCTCTGTAGTGTGACCAAGTTGTCCCTGGCCCCTGAGTTCCTAATGGGGCATGTTTGCAGAGCATGAGTGTGTGTGTGTTTGTGTGTGTGTGTGTCTGTGTGTGTCTGTGTGTGTCTGTATATGTATCTCTGTGTGTGTCCGAGTGTGTCTGTGTTTGTGTCTGTATGTGTCTGTGTGTTTGTGTGTATGTGTCTCTGTGTGTGTCTGAGTGTGTCTGTGTGTGTGTGTGTGTGTGTCTTGTGTGATGTGTTTCCTGTTGTCCTCACTGAATCTCCCTGGCGGTCCCAGCTCCCCACCCACATCTCTAATCCCTTGGCAGGGAGTCAGTGCTGTTCTTAAAGGCCTCTGTTCTCCAAGGCCTCGGGTGGACCCTCTCCCCCGCTTCCCTTCAGTGCAGGCCGTGGGCCGAGAGTTCTGAGGAGGCTTTTTATATCTCCTGCCTCCAGTTGTACTCAAAGCACCCTATGGCAGGCACAGAGAGGTGAAGGAGGTTGCCCAGGGTCACAGAGCAAGATAGTATCCGAGCAGGCACGAACCTCCTAGACGTTTGGAGGGTTAACCTGGCAGACAGTTTGGGGGAAGGAGGCCCAACCCATCATCCCCCATCTGCAGTTGTGGCACCTTAGGAATGTTCCTTTTTGTTTTATTCCAAGCTGGGGGCTGAGTTGAGGCCACCACTGAGGGTTGGGAATGCTCTTTACTATACCAGCAGTTGAGTTGAAACAGGGCCCAAGGCTGAGGTTTGAATCTTGGATGTACTACCAGCTTGCTGTGTGACCTGGGGTTGGCCATCCCCCCCCGTCTCTGTGCCCCCTTTCCTACAAAGTGGGGCAGATTTGCTCCACCTCTCAAGTTATCGTGAGGATACAATGGATGTAGAAACACTGTGAAAACTATTAAGAATGTGAGGGAGTCGGGGCGCGGTGGCACACACCTGTAATCCCGGCACTCTGGGAGGCTGAGGTGGGAGGATCACTTGAGGCTAGGAGTTCAAGATCAGCCAGGGCAACATAGTGAGATCCTATCTCTTAAAAAAAAAAAAAAGTGGGGGAAATGTTACTGTTTGAAGACAGGAGACCAACTATGTGCCCCCACGTCACTCTGGTGCCTCTCAGGCACTCCAGAGGGGGCTCCCAGAGCACAGTGGGTACTTTTCCCTGGGCAGCCTGTGCCCCTGCTGCTAAAGGGCTACTGAGGCCTCCTTGCATTGCTGCACTCTTTTGGGAAACAAGGTAACAACCTTTTGTTAAAGAATAAATACACTGTTTTCCCTGCAGAGTTGGGGAGGCCGGGAAAGAACAGGGTTTGAAGCATGAGAGGGCTGCAGGGTGGGCTTGGCAGAATGTTCTGGGCATTAGCCCAGAAAACCAGCTTGGCCAAGTCCACACTTTCATGTCTACAGTGAGAGAGGAACCATGAGCAAATGTTTACAATTCTTTGTGCTTCTGCTCAATTTTTTTTACTCTCCAATTGACTGGGTAAGCCCCCCCTCCACC